AATAAGACCCTGGCCGAGCGTCTCTTTGGATACCAGTATTGGAAAGAGCTGGAATATCCCTCCAAACGCAACAGGGAATGGACTCAGAGGCTCCCCCAGGTCATTGCAGCTTTGAACAACGAGGAGGCCAGGGCTACGGGAATGAAACCCAAGGATGCCATAAAGAAGAAACACGTGGAACACAAGTCCTACGTCAGAAGCTCAAGAGCGGTATTCCCCCAGGAAAAAAGAATAGGCGATGTCACGGTTCGATATCCCTATGAGCCGGGTGAATTAGAAGGAGGATCCAAAAGAGCTACGGATCCTAATTGGTCTTTGGAAACTTACCAGATCCAAAGTGTAATAGCTAAGAAGGGTCAGCCCATCTTGTATTATCTTCATGATGGWGCCACGCGTGGGTTAGTCAAAGAAGAACTGCTTATYGTGTGATGTCCGAATGCTATAGTATGGATACCATCATCACACATCCACTTCTTACCATCAAATGCTGATAAAGATACCTCTTCCTGGGTGATGTTATGCAGCTGATGACSATAGCTGCGTATGCTATTCATCTTATGCCGCTCCTCTTTCTTAGTCTCTAGGACTTTCAGATAAAGATCGTGGGTTATCTCCTTCTTAACCACGTATTTTTTTACGCCTTTGGCTTTCTTATCTACTCCATCAAGTTTCAGTACGCTGTACATCTTCGGCTTAAGGCMTACGTATTCTACTATGGGTTTTCCCTTCATTTCATCTTTCATCTTACCTATTACYTTCTTATTCTTTGAAAAGTAAAGAAAGTGGTCTTTGGGATATTCGCTGGTATTGTACTCATCGATGTCGGGYACGCAGTCCTTATAGACTTCTTCTGTAATTAATTCTAATATTAAGGAGTCCGTATCCGTGTACAGCAGCCTACACCTATCGCCGTACTTTGGCTTTAACTTGTMATAATAAAACTCATACATGAGCAMTTTAGATAGGTCTAATACKGTAAACCCCGTGTATACAGGTTTATTGAGAAATAGGTTTGCCTTTTTCATGTGAATTACATAGAAGTTCAGCATCTCTACGTACCTGACGAAGCCCGGCTGTGATACATAGGCCTCGGCTTCTTCTTTTGTGCTGGCTATCTTTATGCTTACCCTTTTGCGGATGTTTCCATGGTCTTCCCAAACACGCTGTTGTTCATCAACTTGAATAGGTTCTTTTCAAAGTCGTTCTTAGCCTGCGTTCTCTTTTGGGTATTGAAGTCAATGTAACTACGCATCCAGGGTTCCTGCGTAAACTTCAGGACTCTGTGGATCTTTGTTATCTTCATACCATGTCTTACGTAAAACTGAAGATTCCTGTAATGTACTACATACTTCTTCTTATCCATTAAGTTCATGGTGAGCTTCCTGTATGGCTTATACCTGGGGCACATTTCTTTCTGTAGTGGACTTAGATGCTCAAAAGGTATCTCGATAGCTTCTGGTGCTAAGGGAAACTCATTATGCGAATCATGTAAATGTGAGGGATATTCGAGGTCTACTTCCAAAATGTAACCTTTATCATCCTCCTTTCCTACTTTCATGTAAAAGTCTTGCGGTCTTACTTCATCCCACTCAAAATCGCGAACTGGTAAGTATTGTGACATTGCCCAACCATAAAGGTTATTAGCATCAAGGTAAAGTATGTATSACGTAGGCTTGTTGGGGTCGTATGTTACAGTAGGGTTGTTTGCTTTGGCATAACGCCTGCTTGGGCCGCAAACCCCACCGCGAATACCATCTTCCATAAATCTGAACAAATCATATTCCGTGAGTAAGTCTAATTGCGCGTTCGTCTTCTTTAAAAGAGCACTCCAACTGAGTCCTGGGGCTGTGTAGAAGTTTGCTGGATCTAATCCGTAATACTCCATTGCCATCTTTCTGAAGCT